CTACTGGGATTCTCTCAATTCTTGCACGTGCTCATGCCAGGTCTTTCGACCCAGGCTATATACCTCCATAACGCCATCTGTTTGATATAAGTGTACCGCCCCGTAGAAAGCCACTGGATGATAGTTTACTTTTTCGTGAGTACCACTCACTAGTGCGCAAGGTCCACCGGTAAGGCGAGCAACATGCCTTTATCTAATTCTGCTTCCTGGCGTTATTGCAATGAAATCCTGCAGGCCGCTCATCTGACTGAAGATCTGATTGCTCCGTCACCTTTGTTTTCGAATGCATTAATTTTCAGGCCCGAATCTTAATGCGTTGAGCGCTTGCAGTATCTCATTTATCTCGCGAAGGCTGCTCACAGCACGAACTATCTTATCCGCGATGGATAGTGATTTAGCTGCCTGTCATTATCTTTAAATCAACTTTAAAGCCAGCTTCCAAAAAAACAACTTCGGGCAAGCCTTGAAAAGTTGCGTGATATGGAGTAGTTTTGCATTACATTCCTTTCAGTTCGCATACGGGTTGGTATGCACGAAACTGAAATGCAGCGGTAGTATCTGAGAAGTGGTCCGTGAAAAAGTACAGAGGTTTGCAGTATGCAGCTGACAGGCACGAAGGTGGCAGATAAGGTAGGTGAGGGAGGGATGAAGGGGAAATAAAGGTTCAAAATAATCGGCTAGAGAAATGATACATGAAGCAGCATTACCAGAAAAAACAAAAACTCTGATTTGTCTAATCTGCAATGGAGCGGAATGCCTTAATAAAAGCTTCAAGTGTCACACAACGCTTCTTCGTTGCTGCATCAATTTGCCGATAAAGTTCAAATAATGCGATGGATGAAAAAGCAGGCCACCGGATGGCGTCGATGCTACCGTAGTAGGATGAAAACTGGAGTTGAAAAAAATAAACGGTCAAGAGGCCACAGAATTTAACAGGAGAAACAACCCCAGGCTGGGATGCACCAGGCTTAAAGGTGCGATCATGCGTTTTTGCACCAGACTCGAAATGCTCAGGTTTAACTGCATGAACAGCCTCATCGACACTGACAGGACATCGACTTACACAAAAAAACACATTGCAGCGAGCCCATTTTTCCTGTTTTGTCTATTCACCTATTTTAATGAGTCAATTTCAGAATTTAAAAAGACAAGCTAAGTTGTGGGAGCAGCTCCCTACCTTTTTCAGGAGTTATACACGGATCCGGAAGGGCAAAATTAACTTTCTGCGCTGCACCTTCAGATTACCAGGAGCATTTTATCTGGGACCTGCTTTTTCCTTTGTTAAGCAAAGAAGCGAAGAACGAGAGCATTTTCAGAACTTCAGTTTTTTTTTTAACATTTCTTACAAAATTGGCAGATAAAATCGAAAAAACAACGTAAAAAAAACATTTGGACAGCTGAGACGACAATAAAGCAGGCATGAGACTGATGAATGATTTATTAGCTGCCACTAACGTGACACTTTTATTGTTAGTTTTGTCTGAAAAGAAAACTCTACGGCAGCGAACACTGAGATCAGAGGTCAACAACTCCTGGAAGAACGCTTTCCGGACTTGTCACATTCAGTAATCCCGCTGCAGTAACGGGTGACATTTTTACTAAACGTGGTGGGAAAGAAATGAATTTATTTCTGAATGCATGAAGGAGCAACGCATAAAAGACTGAAGATGCTGTCCACTGCAATTCCCCGACGTACTGGCACAGCCAGAATTTCGTGAGGAAGTGGCAATTTCGGAAGAACAGGATTTTAGCAGAATGTGAGGGTAACAGCATGAAAGGCAACTCTGTTTAAGCAATAAAAACTGGTACTAAAGGGTTCCAAGAAAAAAACCCCCCGCATTTCTAGCAGTAAATGAGGACAAATTGTCTATTACTAATATGACAAAAAACAATAACGGGCCCAGTTTTCAAAAATTTCCGCCTTCATCAAATCCGACAAACTATCACTGTTGAGAACAGCTTTGAAAAATCGTCTTGCTGGAATGTATAACGCCAGTTATTCCTACTACACATGTGGAGAACGCACGAAAAAAGTCGGCAAAAACTGGAAAATGTGAGTTGCCTTGTAGTAGTAGCGCTAGCTGCTGGAGCTACATTTGCAGATATGAATGCTTTTATTTCCCACTGCAGCAAGAAGGCTGGTACACGCCACAGTTCGAAGGGCAACTATTCAAATTTTGGCCGCGCCGCGCAGTGTGCACTTAATTTTGGATTCGGGTTAGAGCAGCGAAAATTGTGGTACCGGTTTTTTCGCACAACTGAGGTTCTAGTTGTCGCGCTCAAAACGCCAGCTTCCCCTCTGCATCAAGTTCTAGACAGCATAAAAAACCTACATAGGTCCCCAACCCCTCAAGCTCTACCGCTGTGTTCAACCCCTATCCCCAACTGGGACCTCGCCTCCTTTGCAGTCAATACCTCTGCGCCCTTCCCTCCGGAGCGACCCCCCGTCCCCGAGACCCAAACAACGAGCTCCGGCCCTCAGAGTCCCGAGAACCCCCCAATCCTTGTTACCGCAACTTGCCTCTCGACCCCGCTGAGTTTTAGTGATTGTG